ATATATATACATACATACATACATACACACACACACACACACACACACACACACACACACACAAATAGATCATTTAAGCTGATTTTATCTATGTATGATGTATCTTATTTATATTATTTCATTAATAATGTGGCTGCATGCATATGAAATATTCCTGACAAATATAAATATTAACAAATATAAATATTCAAAACAAATATATTAGAAAAAAAAGAAGGATGTGTTATATATTTTAGGACTTGACACAACTTACTTTATTTAAAAGTAAGACACTTTCTATAGATATGTTTCTCATGTCTGTGTGTTCAGTATTCGCTGAGTTTGGGTTCATTTTTGAAACGTGTTTCAGAAAGAAGTTCACGGAGACCGAGACTGCAGAAAGCGCACCATGTGTGTTTTCCTTTATTTTACAAAAGCACAGCGTTCTGTTGTTATTATGAGTGTATACAAATAAAAGTAGACCCTTAACAGATTCGAATGATGTATTGCTCTTATCTGTATGATCAAAAATGACAGAATAATATAAGTTAATTTCAGCGCCAGCGCATTCGTCGACCCCAGAGGGTTCAAAATATAATTAACAAAAATAATGCAAAATACAGTTTCATGGCCTGTACAACATATTTATGCCTGATAAATGTTCTTAATTATCAGACCTTATATACTCTCTAATCTTAACAGTCATGCCAATAAAGCACTGTGGACTAAGAAAGAACAACAGTGCAAATCTAAGTGGATGGCCAGTAAACAAAACACCCTACAGACTCTATTATAGGACTGGAGGTGCACCTCAGCTATGACAGCTTTTACAGCCTACATCCAAAGTACAGGGAGAAGGTGTCAAACACATAATGATGCCTTAGCCTACACCCCAGCCAAGACTCCTGAAAGCTGCTAATTACTCCAAAGAAAACCACATCCACAATACTTTCAAGCAACCTGAAGTTGATGAAATGGGGACTGGGGAGGCTGAGGCACGGTTTCCAAACCTGATGCACAGTCAACTACATGTGTGCAAAACACTGAACGACTCTGAGCCCGATGATTAAAAGGCTCTCTGCAGTACAGCATTAGGCTAATTGCTGTACATACTGAGAGCGAGTTAAGTGTTAGTCATGCAGGTGTGTGAATGCGTGATCAGGAGTTACAGGAGCAGTGTGTGTGTGTGTGTGTGTGTGTGTGTGTGTGTGTGTGTGTGTGTGTGTGTGTGTGTGTGTGTGTGTGTGTGTGTGTGTGGAGAGCAGCTGGATCTGTGCCGAGCTGAACGGGCAGCTGCAGTGATGCCGAACACATGTGCTGGGTACCAGCAGTCACACTTTGCCATCTCATCACTATACCCACACAAATGCCATGCTTATGCTTCTCGTTTGGTACGTTTATTTTTATGTATACTGTGTGTAGGGGAGAAACTGTGTCTTTTCCACTGTCGTATATTAATTGTTATATATATATATAAACATAACTGTTAATAAAGGTAGCGAGAAGCCTGATTGATTCAGTTCAGAATTCAGACCAGTGACTCCTATATTCAATTCAGTCTAATTTGCAAACCAATTTTAAGGATTAATTAAAAAGAACTGAGCAAGCGACAGTACTTTGGACAGTACATTGCGCTGCATGTTTGTTTTTGCATGAGCTCAGTGTTTACAATGCAACAAAGCTGTGCTGACTAATTATTATCAAGATATATGCATTATGCAACTGATAATATTTGGCCGAAACAGCAAAAATAATGACTTTTCAGTTTGTAATTATTTTTGGAGGTCCAAAATCATTGATAATGTGTTTTGACTGCATCAGTGTCTATTAAGTGCACACAACATTTACAACAGGTAAACATGTAAGCATTCCCAACTTTATTTTCAGTTTTCAGCTAAATGAAAACTAATTTCTCAGATTCGGGTGTTTATCGGTTGTATCATTATAAGATATAATTCTTTATTGTTATGGCTTTCATTTTCAGCCAAAAGAAAAGAAAGGCATTGATAATGCAAAGAGTGACAGCTGATGAAATGGTTAAATGTTTTTGAAGAGAAAAGAGGAAACGCAACAAGAGGCGGCAAAAAAAGAGGGCCCCTGTTCCAAGTCTCCATCGCTATGTCATCAGACGAGGAGTGATAGCAGACAGACTCCTGGGAATCGAATTCCACACAGCACCTCAAGTGCTATATAACACATGGAGGAAGGATTGTAACATCCAACAGATCACAGAAATCAAATCTTTCATTGACAGGCTGCTGAGATTCCTAAGAATATGCAACAGCTAGTGTTTTTCCAGTTTCTCTCACAGTTCAGAGTGAAGGAAGCACAGAGAGCGGCACTCAAAACACACATCCAGACCAATCCTCATACACCTGCCAACAAGACACAGCTGAAAGCAACAGCAAAGCAGAGAAACAGGAACATCAATGATTCATGCTAGAGACCTAGATGGGGGCAAGGGTTTTAAGTTATAAATACACCAATGTAACTCTTTTCAGTGGCAAATCGCCTGCTCGCATAGTCACATGTTTAGAGCACAAATGGAGCAAAAGAACAAAGCAGATAAATGTAAAAAGCAAAGAGAAAGTGAGCATGTGCCGCACATTCCCCAAAGCACTTCTGAACCAAAAAAAACATGCGAAATCATGCAGCCTACTAAGACTGGCTTAATTTTTTCATTACTCATCGGACATAAAAGATGCTAAATTAAATGTGCATATGCTGCTTTTTCAGGCATGTAGAAAAGCGGCTTTATCTGTTTCAAGGTTCGATTCTCAACCGTGAGGTAAGAAGTTAGAGGGGAAAAAAGCACACAGAAAAACAGATTGTAAAAAGGGAAATTAGTAAGGATATAGTAATCAATATATTGCATAGACCAAGACAGGTCATTTCAAGGCTTATATTTTCAGTATAATGAAAATACAAGCCCTTCATATATTTACGTCAAGGAACGAATAGTACATTACATTACATAACCCAACTGTTCAACATGAATATCGAAATATTTCACTGGAGTAATGGCTGCTGAAATTCCAGCTTTTCCATCACAGTAATGAATTACATTTTAAAATATATTTAAATAGATAACATTTAAAATTGCAGTAATGTTTCTGAGAGAATAAGACTTCTTTCAAAAAACTTTTGAAAAATCTTACTGACCACAAACATGTGAATGGTAGTGAACATTTTCATTTTAAAAATGGATTTTATGGATAGTAGGATAGTCAAATATTCAAAAACAAAAGTCAGTGTTTCGGTCTCGGTCTAGGGTCACATGGCACAGTTGCACTTGTTCTATATGACGACATCTGAAGGAAAACGGCTCCATCCACATAAACTGGGTCTCAGTGAAACTGAATTGAATTACGTAAATATGAAAATAGAGTGAAACTGGAGAATGTTTATATGGAGTGTTCACATACAATCCAATATGCTTGTAAATGGCTCCGAGAATCCTAAAATGAATAGATTTGTCAGCATTGGTTGACAGGGACTATGAGTGAGTGGAACATGGCCAATCAATCACAAATCGGTGCAAAGCATTACTTGTGTGCCGTATGATGATGTTGCAGCTTCAGTAAAGCATTGCAAAGCAGTCACTTTTGAGGGTCGATTAATCTTAAATCCAAAGTATACTTCAGTTTTGATGCAAATAGTAATGTATGCAAACAGCCCTATAGATAGCCTTTCCAAGTAAGGCTAAAATAAATAACATCTTTGCTCTAGAGTTAAACTATAGTTGCAGGTAACTCTTAATGCACTGTTACCGTCTCCAGTACTTTGTTGTTTTGTCTCATCTGTTTCTGCTTCGACTGAAAAAATGGGTCTTGTGGACAATTCATGAGGGCAAAAAAATGAATGCCGCATGTGAAAACTAAACATACAAAGATTGCATGGATATTATAATCTGGCTGCACGCGTATAGTATGCACAAATTATGGTGATGAAGAAATTCATGTCATTCACATGGCACGCACATCTAGTGTACATAAAAAAAACAAAGTATACTTAGGGCTTAAGTGGGCGGTAGACAGTGAGGCAGCTAACTAGGTTTTGAACAGAGTCAATGTGTGATGAGGAGAGATCAGTTGAAGTATAAAGAGCTCTAAAGAGTACATTATATTAGACTCACAATGTTTGTGTGTGTGTGTGTGATTTACACAAAGCTTCAACAATTTATTCGAGATTTCCACCCTGAGGGAGTTGGAAACACATGATGGAGAAACCCATCTTCAGACTACACCCACCGTCCAGCTTTCTCCACCCATCAAAACAGACAACTAGGCCAATCAATACAGCCGTCTGCCCGACCGTGTCCTGCACGCTTCCGCTTGGCGTCACATGAGTGGGATGGTAAAGGGAACACCAAGTCAGACTCAGCTCTGTTAGGCTCCTGTCAATCCTACACATGAGTAATCTGGGATGGATTGCAATGGTTTAATTGACCATTTTTTATTGTGCCTTAACTGTTAAGACAGTTCACTGGGTTGTGTTGAAACCCTGTCTGAAAATGTTTGACTCTAAATCATCCGTTTTAATACACTGTGAGTGTATCACGTAAAAAAATTACTTGCACCATCCGCATTTTGCTTTATTCTATTGAAATCGGTCTAGGTGTTGTCGAATGCATTTAAAAAATCCAATACAGGTCAATTAAACCAGCCAAATTAAACAAGGATTTCTTCCAATTAGTCAAAAATTAATTTAGTTTGGCATCAAAAGCCTTGCAGTTGAAGTTGCAATTGGGGTGACCCAATTGTGTGATACCATTCAGTCCCTTCCCACTGTCTCCTACATATTTTCTACTGTCCCATCCAGCAATGTCAAAAATGGCAACAAAAAAAAAAACTGGTAACCAACTAGTCAATTTTGAAAAAAAAATTAGTTTAGTATTCTCACAAGCTCCACCTTTCTGTTGATGTCGGAGAGTGGCAACTTGAAGAAAAGCTTAAAAAATGAGAATAGCTTTTAAGCTACACCAGATCTAAGGTGCAGACTTTATAGCGTTGGCTCCAGTGGGAGAAAAGCAGCAACAAAGGGAACAAAGAGCAGGAAGAGAATATGAACGCTAATGCAGTGCATGATAAAATGGAGCAGAGGTATTGGCAGGCCTTGTGTTGAAAGCAGAACCTCATCACTAGTTAGGTGCACCTGCTGGTGGGTTTTGGAGCCTAGGAATCCCTATAAGCCTGGAAAGGCGGCGAGATGTCTCTGATCAAAGTCAAAATCGACCTAGCACCTGAGGTGAAGTGGGTAGAAAAGAGGATGTCTGATGTCATTAAAAGGTGGGCACTCTTTCTAATTACAAAACCTCACAGCCAGCTTCTGACTGCTCATAAGTCCGAGACTCACCCTTTCCATCTGGAGTTTCTAGGCTAATCAGCTGGTGATCTCATACAGGCGTACCCTAATTGGCTCTTGGACAACTATGCAATGAATAATCAGCTTTAGGGTCAGATTAGATGGCTAATGCCACCTAACACTTTAACACTTCAGTGCATGTCATAAATAATACAAGGCTTCTAGAACGCATCTGTGTATTGAAACAAAGAAATCATACACTGCCAATCCATGTCAGCAACATTTGTGAAGACAAAAATTTCAAAACATCACAATGATGGGAATAAAATCAACTTACTTGATCCTGTCGGCATCTGATAAGGACTCCTATAAGAAAGAACATTCATTTAAGTATGTGCAAGCTGAATATCGTCTTACACATAAATATTTGAATATTAGAGGAATCAGAGAGTTGTATATTCCAATAATTATTTCACATTTTCTTAATACCCACAGTGCTGTATATTTGTCTTTTATACCAAGAGGGCAATCATAACATTTCCTCAAGTCTTGAATCTGTACTGATCTTAGTATGAGTGGCTGAAAAATAATTTCTAAATGTCAGAACAACTAAAACAATTTTTTTCCACATCTAACTAGTGATAAAGCAGTTTCATATTATTGCACACATAGGAAACAGTTGTTTCGATGAATAGACTTTTGTGACTTCAAAATGTTAAGTAGACATTCAATCAATAACCTCTAAGACCTACATTATGGCATGTATCAATGAAATATTACAGATTTATAAATGACCTGTATATGTTGGTTAATTAATTTTCAACTGTAATAAAAAAGCAAGGGACACAGAAGAAGCATTTGACATAATACTCCACACTGCCAAACAGGTCAATATGCACATGCCTAATCATATGGACTACTTTTACTTCTAACAAGCAGTGTCAACATTCTTCAAAATGCATCATGGAAGTAAGTCCGTGGATCAACTTGAGGATGAGAAACTGATCATTCCTACAATATTCAGTTAATCTCTGAAAGAATATTGCAATAGTATTCAGGCACAATTGTTTTAAAGGCATGAAATATGGTAGATTGTTTCTTCAATGCAAGAGTGGATTGTAAATGAGGAAGGGGTAAAGTCAAAAATGTTGTCAATGACATACCTTGATCTGTGATAATATGGAAAAAGCAGTCACTTGTGATAAAGGTGTTTTCTCACCCTCCACACGAATGGTGGGAATCTCACCCTTTGGCAGACCTGATTTATCTATATTGTCCTTTTGCAGGGCTCTGCTTTCTATATGGGACAACTGGTGGGCTTGAGGCTGGTGTTGCACCCCCCGTGGAGTCCTGTCGCCCCATTCGGAATTATCACTGCCCCCCACCCTACTGTAAATCGGGCCTTCGGCTTTGGGACGGGCCCCTTTGTGATGAGGATCTAGGTGTTGCTTTTCTGACACTCTCTCTTGACTGTCTGCTGAGATGTGCCATGTCTTGGGTCTTGCCTCTCTTATTTTCCTGTTGGCTCTGCTATGCTGAGCAGCCCATTTGTCCCAAGGTCGGCTCCTCTCTTGCTTTTTGTCATGATGGTCCTTCAATTCATGTTGTTGGAGATTGCTGTTCTGCTTGATTTGGCTCCCTTTTGAAGATACAGCTGGATCTGGAAGGTTCCTGCGCAGCATCTTTAGACTAGCGGGGCTCAGGACCCGGTAGGTGATTTCATCCACAAATTGGGAAAATTTAATCTTTTCCTCAAGAAGCTGCATCTTCAAATCCGGTGGCATAGAGCTGGGAGATGTAGATGATGTGGAAGTAGCACATCCCGTGGTAGAGACTCGTACGCCCTTCTCCCTGTCCAAGGACATACTTTTGGGCTTCCTACTGCGTCCACGACTTCGCTTCTGTCCTAGCATCTCTGCCGACTTAGACTTGCGCAGACTGTCGGTAGAGTACACTCCCAGCTGATGAGACTGCTTGAGGATGCCCTTGGGTGGATGGGCATGCATCAGAGGTGCTGCATGGGGTGGACGCTGCTCTTCTTTGTGTGCAAGTATCTCCGCTTTCTCTTTGAACACCAAGGAGCGCTCCGCACTCCTGCTGGAGTGTGACGGGGAGCTGACTCGGATGCACTGCTGTGAGCTTTCCGAGGAGGTGAGATCGTCGTCAGCAGAGAGTGCCAGTAGGTCATCGCTACGACTTATAAAGCGGTTCATTCTTTGTTGCCGGTGATGCTTGGGAGGAAGTCTCACTCCAAAAGAACCGTGGCTGAAGATCCGTGGTGGGGGGAGGACACTGAGTTCCAAGCTAGACAGGCTCGAGACATCCAGCTCGCTGTCGGACGCTTGTGACCACACAGGTCTCTCAGGGCACTGTGGGTAAGGGCCTGTAAACTGGGTACGCTGCAAAATAGGTGCATGATTTCGAGGGGAAATTACCTGGCAGGGGTCAGGCTGGGCTGACGGCGCAGGGTTGGCGGATGGCAAGGCACTCCCGCTAACATCCTCTCGAAATACTGGCACAGTGTGGCGCGTCTCGCGGTGCTGCGGAGGTGCCTTTCGGTACGGTTTCCGGGCAGGAGCAGCACTCGTCATTCTGGGAGATCAGTGTGCTTCCATACACCATCCGTCAGTCCTGCCGAGAGAGAATCATGAGAAACCAAAGTAGCAGTAGCCTTCAGCCCTGTCCTGTGCAAAGAAGTAGTCCCTTTCCTCTGTCTCACTCTCCCCTGAGCCACCCTGCCTCTTCCTCTCTAAGCGGCAATGTCAAAAAAAGCAGTTTGAATCAATAGGCATTGATGAGAGCTTCACCACTGGGCAGTTAAAAACGCAACAACCAATAAAAAACAGCTATGGCTGTAACAGACAGCTGGAGCTGATAGAGGGAAAACGAGGGGCAAAAAAGCCTCCTTAACCACCAAACATTTGCATATACTTCTACGGTGACGTGCTATTAAAATGTGTGGTAAATTGAGGAAAGGTGAGAATGGGTGAGGAAAGACAAAGAGAGATACCGGATACACGGTCTGATAGACACAAATATAGAGGCACAAGGGAAAAAGTGGAAACGCTTTAAAGAGGGTGATTGATTACATATTGGAGTGTGTTTCCAATAGACACATTGTTAATCCACTGCCTGCATGACTCTTATTGATCATAGGAAGCTATGTTTGGAATGGGAAAAGTGGGTGTGCTGTTGGGATCCAATCACTTACAGAGGCATATAGGGCTGACCCATAGTATCTTCATTGTCATTCATCAAAATACACTCAAAAGTTTAATTTAAACAGCAGTTTTCTCTATGGAAGTTAGGCAAATTTGTAAAACACAATTTAAATCCTATTCGAACCAAACAAGTTTGGGATTTTGTTATTGAAAGTTATTGAAATAATTACCTACTGTTTTTCAGCTAACTCGGGGTCCTCTGAGAAATATAATCTCAGGCTGCTAGAAACGTCTATGACTGCAGTATATCATTTTTCACCTCTTATTGTTGACTTTGCCAGAATACCATAAATTAAGCAAAATTTTGAACTGCCTGGTGAATCTTTAGGGATCTAAAACTTATTGGTAACTTTCTATGTAAAACAGCAGTATATATTTAACAGACTTTTTTTAATAAAAGTTCACAATGGCCACTGTCATCCTATGTTAATATTTGTAAATGTTGTTTAGAAATCTAATCCTGTCCAAACAGTGCTAAAGTTATCCAGCAACACCACTGGATTGTAAGATGAACCCACTGCGGGTCTGCTAATGCACAGAGCTGCCAAAAACATCTGCTGCAAAATAACGTCCTGTTTAAGCACTTGCAGTAACTAGGTTAACAAAAAACCTCACCCTGTGGATACAATATTCACATATTTGACCATAATCTTGACATGTGGTTGCTTGAGGCACTATTCACAAAACAACTTTGTGGCCGAGTAAGTGAGTCCGTGAAAGAAAGTAAGTTTTAGATCACTCCTTTTTGCTGTAACACTGCAACCGGTGCATAACACACAATAGCAGGCCATGGTTAGCACTCAGATCCTCTCCACTTCTTCCTGGTTCACACCTTCCCCTGCAGGAGAGCAGCTTTCTTTAATGGTGTGGCTGTTTTTATAGTTCCTGATTGGTAAAATGGGAAAAATGAAGGGAGAATTGGCTGGTGCCTCACAGTGTGGTGCCAATAAGAAATCAATGGTGTTCCCTGTGCATGCTGCTAATGTGCTGCAGGGCACAGGCTGGGACACACATACGCACATGCACACGTGAGGGGGTCACTGCTAAAATGTGCCACTTATTGGCAGGCTGAGTTTCCCTCTTGATGTCATTCTCTACCCAAAATGCACTAACACACCAGGCCTACACAATGATATACAGCAAGTGGATCTAAATGCGTTTGTAAACGCCGACTCAAAAGAATGTTGACTTTAAGCACAAACACCATCTGAACTGATAAAGTTTCACACAAAGTTCAACAAGATATCTTAACCTCTATCTGACTAGGTCTCTTATCATTCACTGTGAAACTTTTGGTCTCAAGTTCAAAATCTTCCTACACCAACAATAATACAACCTTAAAGTTACGTTGTAAATATCTTTCCATCTATTAGATATTAAAATTGATGGTTTGGTACATAACTCGGTTTTGAAGTCACGATACGTTTTCGGTATAGCAAAGGAAGAAAAACTAAACAAAATTGCTTCTTTTTTTTCATGCCTTTACATAAATTTAATAACTGTTATTATTTTTTAATTCCTACATTTTCTAAACATACATTAAATTAAGTAGGGTTGGGTACCAAACCCGGTACCAATATGGCACCTACGTAACCGGTATGTACTAGAACCGAATCCGAACGCAGATTTCGGTGCCTCATTTCGGTGCTATGCCTGAGCTATCAATTGAAATATTTGTCCTCTGGTTCTCCGAAACGGACGTAAGCATCATCATCACTGGCACCGCACCTGAAAAATAATTTCCCAACTGAGAAAATGCACGTGAAAAGTCGAAAAGCTCTAATAATACAAATCCGACACATCTTTGTAGTAACGAGAGTGTCCATGTTGTTTTCACATTCCGACTTAAAAGCACAACTCGGGAAATGAGAGCATCCGAGGAGCGCGTGAATGCAGTAATTACACTTGCTCTGATGGCAGCAGGTAGCCTTACGTTACCTCAGCTAAACATGCTTAAATTAAAATGCCTAAAGCTAAACCTCCCTTGTATTCACATTTCTAAACCGGTTGTCCAACAAAAGAGAACATTATAACCTTTTTACTCCACAACACCAGTCAAATGCTTCCTTTTGTGATCTGATGAGGCTTCTTGTCACAGAATGAGGCAGAAAATATGTTCCATATGCTACTTTAAAAAGAATACATTGATTAGCAATAGATTATAAATTAGGGTGACCCATACGTCCTCTTTTCCCCGGACATGTCCTCTTTTTGGACCTACAAAAATGCGTCCGGCCGGAATTGCTTAATTGCCCAAAATGTCCGGGATTCGGCTGTTTTCTTAATCCCACTCCCGCTGAATCTCTGACCATTGACTGCCGCCTGCTCCCGCAACATGTGTTTCGCTCCCGCGATTTTCGTGTCCACTCCTTTAAACATTCTAATATTGTATATAATTTTGCCGCATCAGGGAGCATCTCAGGATGCGGAGTATGTAAATATTTTTGAATGAGCGTTTGCGCTGTTTACTTTACTTTTACTTTCGCGATCACACACACTCTGTGTAAAGGGAGCATATCTTACAAGATCAGATATTTGTCAATGAGCTCAGGATCTGTTGAGCAGCAAATACTCCAGCATGGTCTTGTCAGTCATCTCTCCTTATTCTCGACCTGTGATCACTCAAAGCTGACTCCGGTAGCTCTTGTTGGATGCAGGGCTGCCAAGTCCGCGTTTTTTCCACAGAACTGGGATACTTTTAAACTATTGCCATGGGTTGATTTTCCCAAATGGGTTAAAGGTTTGAAATATTGCATAAATTACATTTGACTGAAATGCTTGTATTGAAACATTTTGTATTCTACCTATGATAAAACTTTCATGGACTTCTACATTAACTGTTCCCTCCTGGTGGAATGACCTGCCCAGCTCAATCCAAGCAGCTGAGTCCTTAATATTTTCAAGAAACGGCTGAAAACACATCTCTTTCATCTTCATTTGACCCTCTAACTCTAGCTCTCTCTATTCTAATGCTACTTCTAATTTTATCTGCTTGTTTTTTTTATTAAAAAACTTGACCCTGTAACATTTGCACTCTCTAGAATATTTCTATTCTAATGGCCAATCCATCATTTTTGGGGGGAATTTTTTTTTATTTATTTTTTAATAAGTATCGGTTCAGGCACCGGAACCATTTTAAAAGTATCGATTTGGCACCGGTATCGAAAAAAACCAAACGATACCCAACCCTAAAATTAAGACATCACTAGTGCTGTCAAAATTAGCCTTAACGCAGGAGATAATTTTTTTTCAGTTTAACGTGTGACAAGAATTGTGTTTAGACGCAGAACGTCTTTATTACCACATCAAACGGAGACGTTCAGATGCGCACTCCAACTTCACCTCAGCAGAATTGCACGCAAAAATGCACCGGCGCGCGCTGTAGCCTGTGTCATTTCATATCAAAGCGTGAAAGAAACTACGAACATGCAATGTCGTCAGTTAAGTCATCAAGTTAAAGCTGCCTTAAAACTGTGCATGCATGTAAGTATTTGTTGAGTCGCATTTAAGAACATGTCTCTAAAATGGTTTTCAAAACTGTCCTGGAGCAGCCCAGAAGATGAGCCCAGTCTCCCTTTGTCTAACACACCCGATTCAACTCCTCAGCTTATTAGTAGAGACTTTAAGACCTGAAGTGGGTCAGAAAAGTGCGTGTCAGATCCGCGTCATGTTCAGCAGTAGCAGCTCTTAAAGCAGCCAAAATAACCTAATAACCAGCTGATGTGATGTCTGTTAATCAAAGAACACAAGAAAAAAAAGAGGAAAACAACTTTTGTAGCGTTTAAGGATTCATCTATATTTAATTTAGAATTTAGCGTTTGATAACTTTAATCAATTTCTATACATTTCCTACTTTCTGAAGGGCACGGGCAGATAAATATGACATTTATTTTAAATGGGTTTACGTGAAGATTATTTTAAGTTGTTATTTTTTAAAGTCTAATAAATGTTCAAATTGATAGCTCTTAATTATACTGTAATGTTGAATGGCTAGTCAATGGTTAGTCAAGGAAATAAAACAATTCCATAGAGATATCAGTAGTATTGGTATCAGTGATACTTGCCTTCAGTCATAAAAAAAGATGCCATTAAACAAATATTACAAATATTCTGTCTTTATTTTGTTTCTACATTAATTTGAAGATTGAATGTGAAATCATTGCAATATAAAAGTAAAAACTTTAATGCTAGGCAGGATTAATCGCGATTAATATCAGAAAAATGTGCAATTAATTCGTTTTTTTTTTATATTAACACATATTAACACCTAACACATATTAACACCTAATTCTGCACGTCCATATTTTAGATCCCTTAACCCTACCTCATACCTAAACTTAACAACTACCTTACTAACTATTAATAAGCAGCAAATTAGGAGTTTGAGGAAAAGGTCATAGTTAGTAAATA